CAGGTTGAGAACCGCTGGGTTACCAGGAACCAGTCATATTGGTTTGGGGCCTGCCCTAAAGACCTCATGTTACCATGGTTACATCTCCAAAGACCCTATTTCCAAATAAGATCCCATTCACAGGTACTGGGGTTAGCACTTCACCACGTCTGGGGGAAGGACACAGTACGACCATAATACCCTCCTTGAAGAGCCTTTTTAGACATTTGTCCCCAGTCACTCCTCCCATGGAATTTTAACACCACAGATATGTTGTATGTCTGTTAGTGTACTGCATGCATGTCTGCACGTTAAATACTTAGAAAGTGGATATTTTGCCCTCCTAGGGACCCCTTTTCACCCTTGTGAGGCAATGGGATACGCAGGTTAGGACTGGTGGTCAGTTGGGGAAACTGAGGCTCAAAGCTGTCAACTAAGTGGCCCGAAAACCATCAAAGAGCCAACAAATGTCAGGTCTGGCAAGGACCCCAGGCTGTGACGACAGGCCACCCTCTAACCCAGGGGACCGTTTTGGGGAAATGGCTCCGTCCTCAAGTCTGAGGTTCCTTCTGACAAGAACCCCACAGGCTCCTGTTTCTGAGCAAGTTTCAGCTGGAGTTCTTTCAGGGACGCGTGGTTCTGCCCCTGGGACAAGATAAAGAGGCTTTTTTTCACTGGTTGGGACATTTGAAAGCACATGGCCTTTCTCTGTGAGCTGTACGCTTGGATTTCTCATCTGCCCGAGATGGTTTCATTAGGGAGTCATTTGCTAGTAAATGGACTGAGCTTTGCATAGAAATTGCTTTAGAATGCCTCGCTGAAAACTCCGTTTTTTTATCCTAGATGGACTTAAGCGATGTTAAAGATTCCTACGTGAGGAAACAAGAGATCCCGTTCAGTTCAGAGCAGAAGTGGATGGCAGTCAAGTGCAGCCCCAAGAATGAGGTGAGTTTGCTTCTCGGCCCCTTTCCACCACATCTCCCCCCGCCACCCCCCAAATCAAGCAAATGCAGACATCAGGGAGAGAGGTTAGTTTCCATTGCTTCTGTGAGGTTCCAAATACATGACAGTTGATAGCAATCGAATCTTTGACTATGTTGGGTCTTCTGAGATTTTTAACTGAGTCACTGGTCTTCCACGTGGGGTTCCTGTACCAGCCCATCATTGCACCAACTGGGAAGTTGTTAGAAATGCAGGTTCTCACCCTGGCCCGTTTGCTCAGTGGTTAGGGTGTTGGCCCTCAGACTGAAGGGGCATGGGTTCGGTTCCGGTCAAGGGTATATACCTCGGTTGCAGGCTCAATCCCCAGCCCCTATGGGGCACGTGTGGGAGGCAACCAATCGATGTGTCTCTCTCACATCGATGTTTCTCTCTCTCTCTCTCTCTCTCTCTCTCTCTCTCTCTCTCTCTCTCTCTCTCTTTCACTGTTGCCCTTCCCCTCTCCCTCTCCGTCTCTCCCTTCTACTCTCTCTCTAAAAAAAATCAATGGAAAAATATTCCCGGGTGAGGATTAACAAAAACAAACAAAAAGAAATGCAGATTCTTAGGTTCCACCTGAACTCCTGAAACCCAGGGGTAGGCCCAGTAATCTGTGTTTGCTGGGGATTCGGATGCACGCTCAAGGCGAGAGTCGCTGGCCTGTAATATAGTTGCTGAGTAATTACTACTAGAGCCACCCTAGGCTTCTGATAAATTGACCCCATTGCTAACTTGGGTCCTTCCTTCGCATCCCGTGCTAAGTTTTTTACACACGTGAGCTTATTTAACTGTCACAATGAAGGACCAATTCTTCATTTCTGAAGGGGGTCCCCCACAAATGATGTGAACAGTGAGCTCACGCATACACACATGCATAGACACACACGTGTGCATGTTATAAGTGATTAAAGGACTATATACCAAACTATTCATGGTATATGGGTGGGGATTCAGCTGACTGTTGTTTTCTTTTTCTTTTTAAATTTTCTGTAGCTTTACATATTTTTTACAATAAAAATAATCTTTATTTTTTAATTTTAAATTATATATATCTCCCCCAGTGCAGGGATTCGTGCACATTGAAAGGAAATTAATTAGAAGGTAGCTGGCAGGGCGGGACTGGGCAAGATGGGCCGGACATGCCCTGGAGCCAACCTCCCACGGTCCCTCCCGGGCCAGCCACACCTGGGGCGTCTGCAGAGTGAGCAGGATCCCTCCAGCAGGTGGGGTTCCTCAGCCTGGCCTCCAGGGACTGGGCCAAACCAGCTCTCTGACATCCCCTGAGGGGTCCCAGATTGTGAGAGGGCGGTTCTCAGGTGACGCACCCCAGAATCAGGCTCCCTCCTCTCTGGTTCCAGGTGTGTCACTCGAGAACCGCTGCTGCCAAGTCACGGCAGCTCAGCACTCCTGAGTTGAGTGTCTGCCCTCTGGTGGTCATTGCGCATCATAGCTACCAGTTGGACGGTCACTTAGGCTTATATATATATAGATTTATTGATTTCAGAGAGCAAGGGAGAGGGAGAGAGAGATAGAAACATCAATGATGAGAGAGAATTATTGATTGGCTACCTCCTGCACGCCCCCTACTGGGGATCGAGCCCACAGCCCGGGCATATGCCCTTGACTGAAATCAAACCTGGACCCTTCAGTCCACAGGCCAATGCTCTATCCACTGAGCCAAACCAGCTAGCACACAAAAAAATCTCTTTTTTTAAACTGCTTTTTATTGCCTTCTGCCGTTTTCTCCAACCACCCCCTTCTCCCCCGTTCTTTCTGGAATCTATGGCCATGCTGAGATTTCTCAACTCGTTCAGGGCAGGGGGCAGCTCCGCCAGCTCATTCCAGGTCTTGGATGGGCATGTCAATTCTGGGTGTTTGAAAGGTGTTATGGATTTTTTAAAAAATGTCTTAATACCTTTAAATCAACTCCCTGAGGGTGATTGTAATATAGTCTCATAAAAAAATTATGGGCCCTGGCTGGTGGCTCAGTTGGTTGGAGTATCATCCAGGGCAGCTGTCCTAGGGAGGCGCAGCCTGGCTGGTGGCTCAGTTGGTTGCCCTCCTTATCAGTCAGGGGCCAAGTTGCAGGTTTGATCCCCAGTTGGGGCACCTACAGGAGGCAAGCGATCGATGTTTCTCTCTCACATCCATGTGTCTCTTTCTCTTTTTCTTTCCTTCCTTTCTTCCCTCCCTCTGCCCCGCTCTCTAAAATCAATAAACAGGTTCTTGGGTGAGGATTTAAAAAGATATGGAAATGTGACTTTAAAAGTAGAAGCTCTTTATAATTTGCCCCCTTCTCTCCTTACCCATCCCCCACCTGAGGTAACTCCCCTTAACAGTCTTGTTCTGAAATAGACATTTAGCAAAATCAATCACATACCTAACGCATAACACTGGCTGAGATATGAACATTAATGAAACATGCTGAGTGACATTAACACGGCGACTTAATGCAGGGTGGGCGGAGGGGGTCCAAGATCAGCCCGTGCCTTTTCTGGGCTGTGCAGTATTCCATGGCGTGGGTTTCCTGAAACTTACCTAATCCTCCTACACTGGAGAAGCTGACAGCCCCCTGTAAGCCACCTGCCGTGCACATCTCTGTGGGTGAGGTGACATCACCCAGAAGCGCCCGGCGACAGATTTTTTCCCTTTTGTCCTTTTCAAGGGGCAGGAAGACATCTACTTCATGAAGGGGGCCTTCGAAGAGGTGGTTCGCTACTGTACCATGTACAACAACGGGGGCATCCCCCTGCCGCTGACGCCCCAGCAGAGGTCCCTGTGCCAGCAGGCGGAGAAGAGGATGGGGTCGCTCGGCCTGCGGGGTCAGTGCCTGCGGCCAGCCCCGGGCTTGGCGTTTGCATGTCACGCTGACTTCAGGCGCCATGATGCAGGGTCCTCGGTCCGTGAGCTGGTGGTCAGAGTGGCAGCAGGCAGTTGCCAGTGAGAGTCGAGCAAGTGTGGAATGGAGAGGGAGCCCCCCCCAAAGACACCCATTAATGCAGGTCAGCTCAGGATGAGGAGAGGCGGCCCCTGTCCCTGAGTTTCCCAAGGTGAATGGGGTGCCCCGGAAACAGCGATTGTCCTGCTGGGTCTCGCTCAGCGCTAACTGTCAGGAAAGCCTAGAGCTCTTGTCAGTCAAGGCAGACGCTTCACTCCTTGGCCATCCCCAGTGTTCTGCACCAGGGCCGGGGCCTCCCCTATGGGCTGGGTGTTGAAAACCCGTTTCCTGTAGCGTCATTTATCAGCCTGTCAGCTTTCGGAGAAAGTATTGGAAAACACCGCGGAACACGTGTATCCCTGGGGGATGGGCAGCGGGGCTCGCCACACTGGTTTCCCCCTTAGGAACACATTGCTAGCAGACAGGTGCGAGGGGAGGGATCTCGGCCTCGGGAAAGAGGGGAACAGCACCTGCGTCAGGCACAGGGCAGCTGTCCTAGGGAGGCGCAGCCGGAGGCTTCGGACCACAGCCCCCTCGTTATCAGTCAGGGGCCACCCCCGTGGAGCACTCGCCCGGGAGCTGGGCCTGGCTTCTGCGCCCCTGAAACAGGAGTCCTCTCCCCCGTGTTCCCCGCCCGCACATTTTCCCTAAGCTTTGCTGCTGGGAGCAGACCAGGAGAACCCATAGAATTGCAGGCCGTCTCGCAGACCTCCTTGCAGCACTCTTGTTTCGGGGGAGGGGAGGGGGTGCGGTTACAGAACCTCTGTCCAGAGGTTATTTGGGGCCAGGGAAGCGGTCTCTAGCATCTCTGTTTGGGGTGAGGCGCGCTGCCCTGTGCAGGCCTGTGACCACCGCACAGACCTCTGCCTCCCCTTGCGGAGTCCGGGAACTCGGTGCCCAAGCCCCTCACCGCCAGGAGGAGCTGCGACATAGGGGGCCAGGGCTGACTGCGGCTAAAACCGTCCCCGGTCCCAGTGACAGCTCTGTGGTCTGCTCTCTCCGCAGTGCTGGCCTTGGCTTCTGGGCCCGAACTGGGGCAGCTGACCTTCCTGGGCCTCGTGGGAATCATCGACCCCCCGCGGGCGGGCGTGAAGGACGCCGTGCAGGTCCTCTCCGAGTCCGGCGTGTCCGTGAAAATGATCACGGGGGACGCCCTGGAGACGGCCTTGGCGATAGGTAAGGGGGCGGCGTGAAGGACGCCGTGCAGGTCCTCTCCGAGTCCGGCGTGTCCGTGAAAATGATCACGGGGGACGCCCTGGAGACGGCCTTGGCGATAGGTAAGGGGGCGGCAGGGAGGAAGCAGGACCTGCCATCCTTCACGGTGGGGTCCTGCCATCGGTGATGCCTCCACGGGCCGGGGCCGGAGAGCCGCCTGCTCGGGACTGAGAAGAGATTCTGAGCTTTCAGTGTGCACGTCCCAGCATCCCACCTTCAAAGGCTGTCGTCTCTGAAGTGTTGGCAGGTTCTCCAAAAGGGGGAAAGCCCTCGTGTGTAATGAAAGCCTACTAGGTGCCAGGGCTTTTCATCCATGATCTTCACCTTCACAGGCAGCATCGATCCCACCCAGTGCATAGTTTCCGTCTGGCTTCTGCCCTCAGCTGTGAACCTTTGGCAAGTCACTGACCCACTCTGACCCTCAGGCTCTTCGTCAGCAGAGGGCTGGCTAGCCACCCCGCTCCCCTACTCTTCTTATTGCTCGGAGGGTTGCCACACCTCGGTTTTCTTGCCCCTCCATCTCGAGGCAGCCGGGCACCGTGGAGCCAGGCGGAACCCTGCCAGGTCCCAGTTACCACCCGCCAGCTCCGTGACCCTGGCGTAAGATGGCCTTCGTTGTGGGCTAATTCTGTGGGTAGAATTAGATCATGTCACATAGCAGGTGCTCAGCTAATGGTAGCCATCGTGGGTTTTATTCTTGCTCTTCTGTGGCCAAGGCAGGGAGTGATGTCAGGTAGGTGGAGTGAGGGGTGAGGCCAGGGACCATGGCTGCAGGCCTGAAGCAGGCCCTAAGCGCGGATTCCCCCCACCACGCAGGACAGAACATCGGCCTGTGCAACGGGAAGCTGAGTGCCATGTCCGGGGAGGAGGTGGAAAGTATGGAGCCGAGCAAGCTGGCTGACCACGTGGGGAAGGTAGGGTCCCTCCGGGGGCTCCCTGGGAGCGTGGAGGGGGCTGTGTTTCCAGCTTCCCGTTCACGGACTCTGCCCTTTCACGCCTCTATATTCAGGTGTCTGTCTTCTTCAGGACCAGCCCGAAGCACAAACTCAAAATCATAAAGGTACGCTGTGAGGAGGCAGGTCCTGCCTCGCTTGTCCTTTGGGGCACAGCCCAGGGCAGCCGCGGTGGCTCTGCTCCCCAGGATGGCGCAGGGCCTGAGCTGGCGGGAGCCTCGGCCATCCTCAGGTCTGGCTTCCTCCCTTGGGTCCAGGGCAGCTGCATCAGCGGTTTCCTTTTCCCAGCCTCTGGGGAGGGAAGAACTGAAGGGGAGCCCTTCACCTCCTGCACCAAAATCAGGGAGTGGGAGTTGGATGATGCAAAGGGAAATATAAAAAGGCTAGCAGCCTTGGTTAGTCGAGTGGTCTCTGGCATATTCTTGTTAACTCCAGCCCTGGGAAGGAAGGGCTGTTGCTCCCATTTTGCAGATGGAGAAACTGAGATTGAGAAGTTCAAGGCTTGCCCACTTCCAGGGTCAGCCAGAGGTGACTCCATGCTTGGAACACCCTGGCACATAGTAGGCTTGCAGATGGAGCTGGGATTCAGACTCAGGCCAGCTGATGTCGGTGCCCTTCAGAGGGGTCTCTGCTGTCAGCCACAGTGTGAGAGACAGAGCGTCAGGAGGGAAGGAAGGTTCTAGAAGGAAGGGCCGAAGGCTGCATGCCTCCACTCGCCTCCTCTTTCCAAAGGCTTTGCAGGAGTCGGGGGCGATTGTGGCCATGACGGGGGATGGGGTGAACGACGCGGTGGCCCTGAAGGCTGCGGACATTGGAATCGCCATGGGGCAGACGGGGACAGATGTCAGCAAAGAGGCTGCCAACATGATCCTGGTGGACGATGACTTCTCAGCCATCATGTAAGCTGCTCTTTAGGTGTTGTTTTAGTGGCAAAAATGAGTGGGTTAACCAGCAGCCCCCTAGGATCCACTGTGCTATAGATATAAGGTGTCCTCAGGCCCAAACACCACTTAAAGCGGGGTCATGGGGGCCACCTGGGGTGGCGCAGGCGGCACCTGGGGAATGTTGCAGACAGTGCAGCGGATGGGGAAGCCTGGGGTGGATGGGGGATCTGCAGCACATGTGCAAGGAAATCCTGGGTCACCCTCAGTGCCAACAGCAAGAGGCGGGAATACGACGCGGCCAGTAGAAAACACGTTTTGGAGAACATTTTAACGACAGAGACATGCTCACACTGTGGTGTGAAATGAATGGCATCAGGGTGAGAGAAATGAGTACGTTCAGGTTGAGTCTATTGTGTGTTTGCATTGATACATGCATGTCATGAACTGAAAAGAGATTGGACAGAAATGCCCAGATCATTAACACCGATGGGGATGGGAAAAAACTCTTCTTAAACCTGATCTCAAATATTGGAGTTTGATATGATTGCCGACTTGACAAAAGGAATCGCCTTAGGAATTCGTAGAACAGTTCCTCTTGGTGAGAAAATGTAGTTAATATATAGCTCTGCAGCTTGCGTTCCTTTGCAGATTTTTTAGTAACAAAGGGAGGGATTGGACAGTTTTCTACTACATTAGTGACCAGGACTTTCACATGCAAAGAGCTCCTCTAACACACAGTGGGTGAGGAACCCAGCTCTCTCTTCCTGCTGTGCCCCGGACCTAACTGTTGGATCTAATTGGTTTCGCTGTGCCCCTTGCCAGGGTGAGTCAGAGGTGCAGTAGGCCCTTCGGGAGTCCGGGCTGAGGGCTGAGGTCCCCGGGGTCACATGACAGAGTAACTTAGTCTTCAGACAGGAGGGAGGTCATGGCTCAGGAACCTGTCCCCAGCCGCTGAGGGTACCCGTCGGGACATCATTCTCTACCAGTGTGTCTCCAGCAATGCCAGCCAGGGGACACAGGAAGGGGGTTCCAAGCATGGAGCCACCTCTGGCTGACACCATCACTTCATTTAGCAGCCGACAGCGCGGCTGAACCTTGCCACCAGGCCCTCCTTGTGAATCAGTGCTTCCTCCTCTCTTGCAGGAGTGCAGTGGAGGAAGGCAAGGGGATTTTCCATAACATCAAAAACTTCGTCCGATTTCAGCTGAGCACGTAAGTCGAGGCCGGCCTCTCCCAGGGCCGAGTGCTGCATCCATGTGGCTAGCTCTGTTGACTGTGCCCTGTTCTGCCGCTTGTGCCCCGCAGGAGCATCGCGGCCTTGAGCCTCATCGCTCTGTCCACCATGTGCAACCTGCCCAACCCCCTCAATGCCATGCAGATCCTGTGGATCAACATCATCATGGACGGGCCGCCAGCACAGAGGTGAGGCGCTGGGCTGGCCGGGACCACCACACCGTTCTGCCAGCTTCCACAGACTGCACCTTTACTCTGTGCAGGGGCTGAGGGGCGGGGAGGGGCAAACACGGTCACTGGCCATAGGAAACCCCAGAAAACTTAAGTGTGGTGCACAGGGGGAAGTGCCTAGGCAGGAAGGGCAGGGGCTGATGGACATTCTGCCTGGAATGCTGTCCCTGGGCTAGCTGCATGGCCCAGTCCCTTTCCTTCAGGTCACCACCTCGAGAAGTCCTCCCTGATTACTCTACAGCATCCTCCTCTCAGCCACCTTACCCTGCTTTATTTTTCCCTGGACAGGAAAATGTATTTCCTTGCTTACCTGTCTATATAGAATCCATGTCCCCAGCAGAATGTCAGCTTCATGGAGGCAAGGATTTTTGTTCCCTGCAGCATCCCCAGCTCCTGCAATGGTGCTTGGCATAGAGCAGGGGCTGGGTAAATTGGTGGCTGAATGAATGAGAAAGGAGAGTTAGGCTAGCGAATGGTGCAGGAGGAAGAACGAGCTTTGGAATCGGGATGACCAAAGCAAACAAGGCACTTCACTGTGCTTGAGCACATAGTGGGTGTTGTTTCAGATGTAGCTGATTTCCTGTTACTATAATTAATATAATCATCACCAGTGACAGCTGCTGAGGAAAGAGCGTTGTACTTTATCCTCACCTCACATCCCCAAAGTAGAGGCTCCCCCTTCTACACACTCTTCCTGAGCACAGGGCTGGGACCTCAGCCATATCTGCACACAGTGGGGCCTCACCCAGCTTGTTCCCTCCTCGGTGCCCCCACACCACCTACCACTGTTTCAGAATGGGCTGAGGCAGGTGTCCCTTAGTCGATGGGGAGTTCTGTGGTGGGCAGGGCCTGCATCCTATGTCTCCGGCCAGCTGGGATGGGGCCAGGCCCAGCTCTGGGTGGGTCCCCTTGTGGTGGAAATTGAGCAGAAAAATGACTACATGTGAGTCCAAGATCAAGGTGTGTGTGCGTGCGGGTGAGAGGGTTATAGATGGAGGTGGGCAAGCTGCCCTGAGTCCAGGCTCTGGGGGTCTCCCCAGATGGAGCTAAGGGACTGGGTGGTTAGGGGGTGGGGGTCAGAAGAACAACGTGGAGGCCTTTGCCACCTCCCTATCCTGGCTGAGCCTATCATGGTGACTTGAGCACATCTCTGCTTCAGGCTCCTTTTTCAGTGGTTTATTCCAACGTTTTGTCCCGAGCAGCTTGGGCGTAGAGCCGGTGGACAAAGACACCCTCCGGCAGCCGCCGAGGAAGGTCAAAGATATGATCCTCAGCAGAGCCCTCATCCTGAAGATCCTCCTGTCGGCCTCTGTCATCATCAGCGGGACCCTCTTCATCTTCTGGAAAGAGGTGCGGACAGTGCTCACGGGCGCCCCTTGGTGCCTGGTGGCTAATGCGGGGCTGGGCGTGTGGGAAGCAGGTGGACAGTCCCTGCTGTGGGGGGTGGAGGATGGGGGACTAGGAGCTGACTTTGCAGAGGTGGGAAGAGGCAGGAGGGATGTGAGGCCTCAGGGGCAGAGAAAGAATGCAGACTTTTTTTCTAAGCGGGACACATGCCTTCTGTTGTCACCAGGAAACAGTCTGAAATCTGTTTATTCCCTGAGGTCACTGTTGCAGGGTCTCGTCATGGCCTGCAGGTTCAGGAGGCCCTCCCCAGGCATCCAGTGAGCTAGATGGAGCTAGGCAGGGGCCCACGCAGACCCTTAACCCCCGTCACCCGTGTGCGGGAAGCGGGATGGGACACTGGGCCGCCACCGCCCTGTCCTGAGCCTGGTGGAGGGAGAGACGCAAACCTTCCTGTTGGAACACAGCTGTTCTCAGCAGGGGGTGGCTGGCCGCGGCATCAGCACCCAGGACCGTGGGGGGG